AAAAAGACGTCAGACATAGAAAAGAACTTAACTTTAATACATAAAGTTAAACTAAACAAACATAAGCTACAGGAAACAGTAAATACTGTAAGATTTAAATGAAAAAGAAACCACATATTAAATTATGTATGAAAGTTCATTACATACATAGGCATCAAAATTACATATGAAGAATATAATAAGTATGTCCCTATTTTAGTTGCTAAAAATAACCTCATCCGGTTAAAGAATGCGTCAAGACCACTGACCATGCTCCCACTATTATTTTTCCAACTTTGATACGTTTTTTTTTTTTTTTTCTTTTTTTTTTCATTTCTTCTTCTTCTTTTTTCTGCCCAAATCTATTTGGATAACTGAAAATTGGGCCTCGGACAATTTTGGAGTTCTGCTATATTTGAATCAACCACATCCAATAATGTTGGCTCTTGCTGAGAACCGTACCGATGTGATCCTGCGACCCTGCCAAATCTCCAACCCCCACACACTTGTTACATTTTTTGTTGATTTTTCATTCACTCTCCAAGCGCTCGAGATCAATTTTATATAAATAATTCCTCTTTCTTCAGCATTCTTTGCCCTACCCCCCACCCTTTTTTTTCCCATACTCCATGACAACTACTTCAAACGTTTCCCCCCACGGACTGCATAGTGCAGTGGGTTAGACATGTTTCTTTCACGCCTGAGTTTTTTTGCCTTCGTCAGTGTCAACAAATACTTCGTCATCTTTTTTCCCTCTTTTTTGCATACCTAAAAGGAAACATTAGATTTAAATTCTTCCAATACTCTCATTTAACTTTTGCTTATTCTATTTTAAACTATTTTCTCAGTAATTTTTAAACATTTCTTTTGGGTTTTAAAATTCTCTCCTCATCTAAATATTTCTCAAATTTTACAAAATTTTTCTCCACAATGTTATTATCGGCGATTAATTAAGCCTAATAGATAGCTTTAGAATAGTAAATTTGGTCTTATTTTATTCATTGCAGTCATTGGCTTTAATCTTGATTATTAATCTTGGCTGTACACTGTTGATTGGTGATGTGTGTTTTTATATTTTACTTTGCTTCGCAGAGAGAATAACTATTATCCAAACGTATGCCTGTTTTAGTTCATTTTTTTTACTATTTGCTATTATTAGGTATTATTTGATAATTTTTGTATTTATAGTTTATAGATATTCAGTTTCTTAGTGCGTGTTTGTTGTTTTGTCATGCACAGAATAATTATTCAAGATTTGTTGTTGTTGTTTTCATGCAATTTCAATTCAATATTTTTTTTATTTATAACTGGTTGTTTTTATTGACTAGATTTAAATGGTTAGTTTTCCGTTTCATAAAAGCCATAAGTCAATTCTCTTTTTTTTACAGAAAAAACTTTATTTAGTTATTTTGAGTTTTAATTAGTTTTAATATGGAAATTATTTTTAGCTGAGAAATTTAATTATTGTACTTCAAATTTTTCATTACTTATTATCTTTTCCATTTTTTAAAGAATCTTTTTACTTATCATTTTTTAACACTTAAATATAAGGGATTAACTCAAAGTTCATTATATGCAAAAACATCCTGCACATTTTCGTTTTGTGCATAAAGAATTTAAATTCAGTTATACTAATTAACCTGTTCACTGTTTGTGTTTTTAAATTCATTTCTTTGACCTTATTTCAATTATTGCTTTCAGCTTACAAAAATTGGAATGTTTAAAATGTCAGCCTTAATTGCCTTATTACTATTAATACAAGATTGGCGAACCAGCTGGTCGCTATAGGCGGCTAGTCTCTAATACTAATAAAGATGAATGTTTGTGTGTCTGTATGTCTTTTGGCTCTCTGCAGAACAGACCGTAGAACGTAGAGTTACCAAATTTGGCACGGATATACTTTGGATGATGAAGATGTGCACCTCGGAGCCATTTTTTCAATTTTTTATTCGAATTTTAATTATTTTAAAATTAAGCTAAATTTCGACGTATTTGGCCTTTTTTTCGTCAATAACTTTTGAAAGAATTATCGCATGAAAATGATTTTTATACCAATTTAAAGTGCAAACAATTATCTTTCTAAATATATTAGTATGAATAATGTACAATAATCAGTTTCAATTTTACAAGGTTTTTAATTGTCATTAAGTGCGGTCAAGGTCGCTCAAGGAGATCGTTTCTCTTTTCGACTGAACGGGAGAGACCGAAGGTAGGGAGGAAGAGCGGGGAGCAAACAGGTTATAGAGGGTTCGGAGAGGGGGAATTTCGTAGCTCACTTCTTTTTTTCCGAACATTTTTGGTTTTAATGAAGCTTTTAATAAATTATGGAAAGCAAATTTTGACACTTAAAAAAATTCAAATTTTAATGCATTTTAAATGTATTTGGTACACTTTCTGCGAGTTTTTATCAAATTTTTAGTATTGATTATAATTATATGCCCAACCAATATTTCAAGAAGCTCATTTAGAATACACAAATAGAACAGAACAGAATATGGAACATTACAATAAAAAAACATTTAGATAGTTTATTGCTGAGATAAATGGTTTCTGATATCACTCATAATTATATTTCAAATAATGTCTAATATTTGCTTGAGTTACAGGATTATTGTTTTTTTTTTTTTTTTCAAATAATACTTTATTTTATTTTTATTGAAATATCGGATTTAAAATTACATTAATTGTAACATATTTATTTGAAATTAAAATGCATTCCATATTGCTTCAATAATGTTACAAGAAATTAAAAGCAATATTTGAAAAGTGGTAGAGGATAATTGCATTCATTTAAATTCTGTCAAAATTAGATTTGATTTACCTACTGACAAACTTTGAAGTTTGACTTGATGCAACTGAAAATGATCTATTATTTTATTCTGGATGCATTTGAATTTCATTTTTGATTTTGGAGCCATTTCATCCAAAAAGCATCTAAAAATTCAAGATTTTAAACATTTCACTTGGTTTATAGTAGCCATTTATTGAAATCTTCAGTTTTATCTATCATCTTTCAAGGCCAACAGTTTATTATGACCAGAAACTTCAATTGAAAAGTACTTCATCGGATAGCTTTAGTTCTAAATTAGTATGCAAAATATAAAAATAACAACTCATTAAAACAACTTACTAATTTCAAATTTTACTGATATAACTGAATCATTTTAGCTAATAAGTAAGGCGAACAAGTAGGTGGCTTGTGAACTATATTGAGGAAAAATGCTGTACACAAAAAATTAATTGTATCATTGCAGTAAATAAATTGCAATTTCATACATATTTTCTAAGATTTTTAATTTACCCTCAATTGTTTAATCAGCCACAGAAGGCTTATTCTTAAATTATTTTTTATTTTCCCACCAGACCGTATTAATCTTGCAGTTAATACCGCAAGACCGTATTAATTACCTTGTTTTTCACTTTCGTGGCCCCGCTCACCCTTGGCGAGGGCCCATCTCGCCACCCTCTCAGTACGGCCCAGCTCTTGCTTATAGCTGGCTTTAAAGCGCTGCGAAATAGAAGAACTGATTGGAGCAAAATTGAAGCCTGAAATAGTTGCACTAACAAAATATTTTAACATTTACACAAAAGTGTTCCTGTAACGTCTTGCAGTTATGCTTAAAAGAACATTATAGTTATGTTAAATTTTAACATAATTTATTGATAATTCTTCTGGAGTAAATATAGAGTTATATACAAATATAAAAATTCTAGATTAATAATAACATGATAAAGTAAGCCCCAAGGCATGCCTTTCATTACCGACTTTCATCTACCGATTGCACCATAGGCAACATTCCTAAACAGGTGGCTTTTGTGCTGACAAGTGTGTTCCCGTGAGAAAGCAAAGGGGTTTTTCTTCTCTGTTGCGATATAAGATCGGGACTGAGAAACTAGAGAGGAGACCCATTACCGGGGATTAGGCCCCTTCGGGGACCATGGGCTCCAAAAGTTACTTGTTTACTGTTACTAGAGAGGAGATGACATCCCGACAGCCAAACTGGTGGTCGCATTCCACGAAGGTCCGATTTGGACAATTTAGCGAAACCCGCTAATTATTTCTTATCAGTGAATCAGTAAGTAGCCGCCAAAAGAGGGGGAGAGGATTCTCGGTGTTTGAAGGACGGCCAGCATGAAAGGTAACGGCAGGTGTCTATCGTTCAGATGAATCTGAAAGTGACCAGAGCCTGGGAACGCATACACCCAGTCTTTAATCAATGTCAGCTGTCGGAGGAGGGCATACGTCACACACTTAGGAATAACACCAAAATTCCGTCGTCTCCCTCGTACCTCTGAATGCGCTACCTACATTTCAGGAAAATAAATGCAGTGTTTAGTTCAGCTTAGTTATATCAATGCCCCGCTTTGAAGAAGCACGGAGGCTATTTTGGAGCAGACCTCGTGATTTTGAACAGCATTCAGATGACGAGGACGACACCCGAGATGGCAGCCCTCTCCAAACTTCCGCACCACACCTACATAAATGCTGAGAAACAGCAGCCTTAAATTATTGGCTCATTCAGGTTATTTCGCTTTTTAAAAATCAAAAATAATATATCTAAGTTAAAGTTTTTAAGCCTGTCCTAAACGACTCGATTGAACATATATCCATTTCTACTGAAAAAGAATATTCATCTCAAAATTCTAATTTGAAACTGGCATAAGAATCAATATTTTAAAAAACTTCGTGATTTTTGTATAGAGAGATCGTATAAAATTTCAAGTTCCTATTTTTTTTAAATATATTTAGGCAATACTATAAAACTCCGCACTTTCTTTTTTTTTACGCAATTCGCAATTTAACACATATGTCTAGGTTAATTTAGTTATATTAACGTCCCGCTTTGAAGCAAAACGAGAGCTATTTTACGACGAACCTCGCAATTTTTAACCACGGTCAGAGGACGACACCTGAGCTGCCACATAACCCTCTCTCCAAGCTTCCACACCACACCAACGGAATACCATTTGACCCATTATGTATGATTTAGCTTGCAACAGTCCCACATAAGCGGCGGGTCTTCCGTAGAACCGGGTTTCGAACCCGGAACCCTCCGGTCCCGTAGCTGAGATCTTTCCACAAGACCATCGGAGCTCTCTATATGTCTAGGATCAGTGTTTAAGGAATTAAAGCCGATTTTATTCGGATATAAGTTTGTGTCCCCATGTAATAAAGGAAAATCCCTCTGAATGAAACACACGTCACAATGAGGAAATGCTAAACTTACAGTCAGCATATCAGAGGAGCTGAATTGGCAGCTGGAAAACGGAAACAAAGACCAAAAGAAAAAAAAATCAAAAAATTTGGTTCATTGGTTTCTGTGTTACGATGCGCGGTCACTCGCTGGTCACAAGAAAAAAAAGCGAAAATTTCACTTCTAAGGAGAATAAAGGGGCGGGAGGGGTTTCCTTACATTGTAAGGAGGAAAACTGTCTAGGACTTGCTCCCTTCCGAGCACCCTATGGGACCTACTGTAGCATTAATTTGCAAATTAATTGGGACAAAATAAGTCCTCCCGCTGGTGTAGTGCGGAAGTCTGGAGAGGGGATGGCAGCTCAGGTGTCGTCATCGTCATCTGACTATTGATGGGAAAAATCTACCAGTTTAAACCGAAAACCGGTGTTTTCGTTTCGGTTAACCGGTTTTTTTTTTTCGCTTATTTTTTCCCCCGGTTTAAACCGGTTAATTTTTTTTCGCTTATTTTTTCCCCCGGTTTAAACCGGTTAATTTTTTTTTAATCCAAAACCGGGGGGGGTGGACGGCAAAATCAGCTATCAAAAGATAGGCTCGATTTTAGGTTCGAGTTATGAAGTTTTGAATGTCATCATCTTGGGCCAATAAACGGTCACCGCTTCCTCGAGGCGGACATTCAGATGGTCTAAAATAGTCATAGTCGAGCTTTCATAACTCGATTAGTTTTCGTCGCACATCTTGTTTAAAATTTCAGTGTGACAAAAATATTTTAATAAATATGATTAATAGGAGCGAGGGACGTATAAAAATTTAGACATAGTTATTTTTTATTATTATACATAATAGACGCAAACAACACAAAATACGATTATTTACGTCTGAACTGTCTAATTTCTTTTTTTATTTGTCTACAATACTTAATACAATTCTTAAAATTTTGTCTACAATACTTATTTATTGTATTAATTACTCATTTATTATTATCACTTATTGTATTAATTACTTATTTATAATCATTACTTATTACATTATTTAATTATTGTATTAATACTTTCTTATTGTGTATTATTAATACAAAATTCTGTCCACAAACGTTGCTTTAAAAAAAAACGAAAACCGGTTTTTTTCAAAAACCGAAATCGGAGGTGAAAAAAACCGGTTTAACAGAAAACCGGGGGTTTTTTTCGGGGTTTTTTTTTTTTGCAATAACCGCCATCCCTACATCTGACCACGGTTCAAAATTACGAGGCCGTCCAAAAATTGATATCGCGTTGCTTCGAAATGGGACGTCAATATAACTAAACTAAACGGAACAAAGTAAAAAGAAAAAAATGGTTTTTTTTTCCAAATATTTTTATTCCACACATTTTCATATACACAAAACAGGTTCTTTACTGAGAAATGCTACCTCCTTCAGCAGAAATCACTTCTTGAATATGATTTGATGTTGATTCTAACAATTTTAGTAGAGATAAGTTTTGTTTTAGCGACATGGAATTACACTTTTATACCGTTCATCCTTCTACTAACCAGTTCTTTTTATCAAGTTTCTTAAAAATGCTGGGCAAATTTTCTATTGGATTTAGATCCAAGCCAATCCGGTACATTAGTGTTATTTTCTAATATAAATTTTTTGACAGTGTGAATTGTGGCAAGTAGCAGTGTCGTATTGGAATATTCCTCTGATAATAAGCAAGAATGACACAATTCTGTACTTTACTATTTCTGTGCATTTGATTGAGTTCATTATATTTTTACTAGGAACTAGGGCTCCAGTTCCCCAGTTTCAACTGCAGTGACAAAACCTCAAAACATACGGCTTACTAGCAGTAAGGCGCACGGCGTTGCTCGTAGAATCAGGACTTCAACAAAATGAAAAAAAAAGCCCACAATGACACAAAAAAGTTTTGAGAATAAAATCAAAACAAAAGATACATATTAGTGATTTTCCCGCTTTATTTTTTCGCGATAATGACATTTTAACTGTAGAAAAACAGTACAGAGTACGTTAATCCGAAACATTATTAAAAAATTGCAACGTGAAAATGATTATTATACAGCAAGCAAAATATGCGAGACAAATAAACACGCTAAAACACTGCCGAAAATAATAAACGAAGTCATTCAGTTGAAGGTTATGACGTATCCTGCGCTCTGCACCGTCAGCCATTGAAATTGCAATAATGCATGTTGGGAAGGCTCCGGAGAAACTTCAGCGGGAGAATGCTCGCTAGAGAACAATCTCTTTGAACTGACCAAGAAAAAATTGATTTAAAAAAGAAAAACGGAAAAAGATATTTTAACCATTCTAGTTTTAAATCCGTCAGAAACGTTCAGTCATAAGATGAAAAAAATTTTAATTGATAGCGTTATTAGAACGTCGGATGCGAGAATTTTAAGAAATCTGAACTGAAAATTACCATAAGAGTGACTATTTTTCAAAAATTTCTCAAGATTTAGGAAAATACGTTAGACGTACGAAACAAAATTCATTAGAACGGAAATCAATTGCTCTTTCTGACGGTGTATCTATTTTTTTCGTACAATTATCCAAAATCATGCTATTGAGAAATTAGTGCGAAAAGTCACCCAAAACAACGCGCAACATTAAATAAAAGATTTTCTAGATTAAATTTTAAAATTCCAGTCTAGAGGTGCATTGAGTCACCATTACGACTACCTGTGTGCCAAATTCCATGGCTGTAAGTGCGATAGATTCGTCTGGACATCGAGCGCACACACAAACATTGCCTTTAATAAATAAAGATAGGACGTTTTATAGGGCTTTACTTTAATAATCATTTGTATTTTCATAGCATCACCAACATAACTTAGGGGACTCAGAGGTAGATTGTCATTTCGCTAATTAAATGTGACCATTGAACCTCCCTTTCCGCAAACTTAATAGTCCAGTCAACGAAGGCCAAAAATCGACGAATAGAAAAAAAAATGGTGTAGTTTTGAAATTTGGCACAGTTGTTGGGGATAGTGTCCTAAACATCATACTAAAAGTCCCCACCCGTGGGGGTTACGCGGGTGGTACAGGGGGGGTTTAAAGGGGGGCTTTTTCAGTTTTTCTTAAATATCTCTAAAACTATGGGTTTTAGAGAAAAATTCTCAATTACAAAAATAAACTACGTTGAATTCTCTATCAGAAAAGTCCTACATCTTTATTTTAGCATCAATAGTTTAGAAGATATGGGGAGTTGAAAAAGTGAGTGTTTCTGAAATTCCTTATTGTAATGGTAAAATCAATACAAATTGCCGAAGTAACAGCCATCAGAAGCACCTCATGCCTATATAATAATTTTATAAAGGTAGTATTGTATGTGTTGAGAATAGTGGTGGTGTCGGGGGTGGGCACAAATATATTTGATGAACAGTTGTGATCCCTTCCTCCCCTCAATCCGTTTCTCTCCACAAGATCAATTCTGGTCGAGTCTATTTTTCCTTCGTTGCCTGGACTATAATGCACACAGCACGAACGAAGTAGAAGTTTATCGAAGAGATATTTTACTAAATATTTGCAGCAGATTTTCATCTCCATTGAAACATAGGATGCAGTGACACGCAGCAGTGAAATGGGGATTGTTGGTAAAGTCGATAAACAGAAGACGTTTTTCTACAGGGTGTTCCGGAATTCCACGTACAAACCTAGAAGGGAGGTAGCAAACATCAATACGAATCATAATCGCATAGGAAAGCATGATCGGAAATGGATACGCGGCGCTGCATGCGACCTCTTAACCCGTTAACGCCCAAATTAATCCTACTGAATATATTTTGATGAATATCTCAAATCCAAGTTATTATGGACTATTTATAGTAATAAATGTGAAATTCAAGCAATTTTTTTGATAGTTTTGAAATTATAGCCTGTCCTCATTTGAGGACGCTGGGAATTCCGGCGATAAAAAGCTAAGTCTTGTTAGTGAAATCAACAAGCTTTGATACAACATATAAAAATTGTAATAAAAGCCTAATCACAGCATTTTTTGAATTTTTATACAAATTTGATTTCAATTATTTTATTTTTAAAAAAATATTTATCAAAAATATAAACGAAATTTTGTATTTTTACTAATAAAATTTTTGGTTTTCCTAATAATAACGATAGATATACTGGACAAATCTTTTTAAAAACGTACCTAACACGTTAATACATATCATGAAATATATTTAAATACACAAATATCATTATCATCCCTAGGTAAAGAGTAATCTGGAGTATCTTTTACTTCAGCAGCATATCTAAACTTTTCATATAAAATAAAGTCATATACTTCCCTAGTGAAATTTTTTTAAAACATTTCTGTTACAGAGGCGCATTTCACTTATAAGATTTCCGAAATTTTATTCATCCTTATTTGTTCATTGAGTTTTGAATATCCAGGATCAACTTTTGACCAATTTATTTTTGTATTTTATTTCTGATGGAGGTGTTCCCGCATAATCTTCATCGAAAGCGATAATATTCATTAATTTATCAGAAAATTCGATTTCTGCTTTTCCTGCTATATCAGACACTGCAAGTATAGTTGTAAGTTAATCATCGAAATCTTTTTAATCGATTAACTCGTCAACGACGGGTGGAATTTGAATAACAATCCGTTTCAATTTATTACGAAAATAAATATTCTCGAGCTTCATCTTTCCTAAGAAACTTACACAAGGCATGGTTATTACACCATAATTTCCTAAAAATAAGATAAAATACAAGTATTTGCTTTGGAAGAGTTGAACGAGTTTTTTATTCAATCATTACGCACAACGTGCGAAGAAATGAATAATCCTGAAAAGTTGAATAAAATTTAGATGTAGCGTCCTCAATTGAGGACAACATTAAATAACGTCATATTTGAAAAGGAATATTTCAAAAATACAAAATAATTGACTACC